GTTAGTTAGTTGGTTAATTAAGGCTTTACAATCCAGAAGCCAGGCTTCTTCCAGCATCTTTATATTTTCGTGTATGAACCTTTTTTAATTCTGTTTGCGTTTTGGCCTGCTTGTCAGAATTTTCGTAACTGTGAACGTGTAGTTTGCTGTTCTCTAAGTCTCCTGTTCACTGTTTCTCTGCTTATGGCAGTCAGACGGAGATGGACCAAATGTTTTGCAGGCTAAGATAGGGCAGACGGGAGTTTGACGAGAAGAACAGATTTCAGTTGAAGAAGAAGAAGAAGAATAAAACGTAGCGGGAGCAGCGCACATTCTCAACACGATCATGTTACAAATGTGTGGTTTTGCTTCTAAGAGGTATGCTTGTGAGAAACAGGGGACTAACGCGGATGTGGCTATCAAGATGTAACGCGTTATATGACTCCGAACAAGGGGGAACTATGAACAACCGCATGTTTCATACTGCGTTCAGGGCCCTGCAAAGTTCTGCTTTAACTTTGCATAAGAGTTTTATTTACTTCCTTTCTGAACTTTTCTTAACCTGTGGGAAATAAGAGATTCCAAAGTTGTGGCACCTGATATTTCTTACTACACACACGGACTTAATAAAAAAAAATATTCGGCCTGCGAACCAACTCAGACCCCCGAAAAAGAGGGTCTGCCCTGCTGTTCTGATGAGGAAGACTTTCCATCTTGTTGCATAACCCAATGGCTCATCATCCCCTTCAGGAAATTCCCCCCTTGAACCTCTAGCCGTAACTTAGGCCACTTCAGCTCACATCTTTACCATCTGTATATACAGGTGATTCAAAAGGTTAGGGCCAAACTGAAGGAGTGTCTATATCAGTGGTATTCAACCTGGGGTACGCGAAGACATCTTAGGGGGTACGTGAAATTTAAAAAAGAAATATTATTTTATGATAAACACTGAATAATCAGTAATGTAATTTATTTAATTTATTTTTAGATTTAGATGATATACTATGTATAACTTTAATTATACACCCAACAACTTTGGGGGTACAAAGTTGAAGAGAAATTATATCTGGGGGTACGCGAAGACATCTTAGGGGGTACGTGAAATTTAAAAAAATATATATTATTTTATGATAAACACTGAATAATCAGTAATGTAATTTATTTAATTTATTTTAGATGTAGATTATATACTATGTATAATTTGAATTATACACCAACAACTTTGGGGGTACAAAGTTGAAGAGAAATTATATCTTGGGGTACGTGAACAAAAAAGGTTGAATACCTCTGGTCTAGAGGGACTCAGAGAGAACTTTCGAATAGGAATCCATGTCCTCCGAAGTTATCCTGAGTCAGTCTGATAACATACCATCCATCCTTCTCTCTTTGAATAAATTATTCTTCAAGTAAGGAATCCTGAAATCTGTGAGGGTCTTACGCTTAAAAGCCTCTGTTTAAAGCTTGACGATATAAGACAACATAAGATCGTTTAGGTTTGTTTGCGAAGTTTGAAGACGCG